GGGTCATGTCTGGTTCACTTTTGTGGCCCCGGGAGCTGGCACATATTTCCTTAAGAAATGTTGGTTGGATGAATGGATGAGGCCACAAGTATGTTAAGAACTGGAAAATTCAGAAGAGGGAGAAATTACATTTAAGTTGAGCCTTACATGTATCATCTTTCAAGAATAGGAACAGTAGAAAGAAAAGACAAAACTGATGGAGCCTACGGAACTGTTTTATAAGTTGTTAGTGGGCAACATCAACTTTGCTGTGATCATAAACACCCTCCTACTTTGCTTTCTAAACATGGCTTTGTTAGAACTAACCCATCTCACCTCAGTCTGGTCACTGATGTTTGTGTTAGCATGACAGAGGTCACTGCGTATTGACTGACCTGCCACTTACTAATTTATTAAATTTAGTTAAGATACTTTAATGTTCACTCAGCTTTATCATTTATTACCCACCTTAGTATATAAAAAGCCTTGTAAAAGTTCGTGGATTATATTTCATGATCTTCTAATTCCATTTTTCCATGAAGCCCCACTTACAAGTCCTCCTGCTAATGCCAAAGAGCTAGATTTGGAGAGGCTTTTAAGGCCCCCTAGTTCAGGGGGATATGTGAGATGCAGAGAACCCAAAGTTCTTGTTTGTTTTTGAAAAGGAAGTGCTAGGAATGAACTATGGGTCTACAACTTGGCAAGATTGAGGGCCAGACTTTTCTTTCTTGATTAGGGTTGGGGGAAACCTGACTAAAAAGTAACAAAATCAGAAAAGAGTGAAAAAGGAAGTGGGGTGAGGGACATTGTAGCACCAATTTGATAATGATGATAATGATGGAGGAAGAATTAGGATAATTTGAAATTAAATTTTTACTAATCTTTGCTTAAAAGGTGAACTTAGAAAATCCAATCTGGATATTTTACACGAATGGATTTACACACACTCCATCAAATATTGGGGCTAAAGACTTTAATATGTAAGACAAATAATTGGGCTACTTTAATGTTAAACAATAATAGTTGTAAAATAAAAAACTATTTGAAGTAGCAAGTATTCGTTGCCAGCCTAAAATGTTTTAATGTGTTATTTATAAGCAAAGTAGTTCAGTCTTGCATGTACATGGCTTTATTACTTCTAACAAGAGTCTAACAAGAGTCAATTATATGACTTTTTATAACAATCATTTAATGTTTTAAGAAATATTTTTGGTATTTGTGTGTTGTGTCCAAAGTGAAGTGGGTAAGGAAATGGGCCTATTTGGTTGGAAATGATATGTGCATGAATTGCTTCCTGACATGCTTGTCTGTCTTTTTTTTTTTTCCCCCTAATACAATAACCAGGGAGTAATGAAAATCAAGTATCATCCTCAGACAAGAGGTAAAGTGGTAATATTTCACACATTATCCTCAGGCCCCTTCAGAAAAGATGCCCAACCAGATATAAAAGAAGTTAATTTAGATATATTGAAGCTGTTTCTATAAGAGATTTAGGTTGATGGGACCAATGTATAGTAGCAGCCAACTTTTAGAAGAAGTTCATGGGTAATGCTAATAGACATTTTTCTTTCTTTCAAGATTTATATATTATTAACTGTTCTAGGAAATCTAGATTCAGTGGTCAGATGAGAAATAAAAAGAAATAAACTCTAGGAATAAAGAATTAGTTTTGTTTTTGAGACATGGAATATAGACTGGTTCAGAGTGGAGTGGTGGCTCTCATTTTGTTGGCTTTG